TTCATACTCTTTTTTTTTCTTTCTTCCAAGCCTACATGTATCCAACACTGTGACCCATTTAGAGGTCTTTTCCATCTGGATTTGTCTTTATTGTGTATCTGGCTTTTCTGACCAGAACTGCTTTTTTTTTTTTAATGCTAAGCAGGCATGGCTAGGGCCAACACAGCCCTTCCTGCTTGCTATGCTCAGTCCAACATGGTGGAAGTCCGTTCACTGCTCTGAGACTGCTGTGTGGGAGTCATTCTCATCACCTCAACTCTGATAACCAGTTGACCCATGCTGCCACCAAGTAACTTGCAGCACATTGCCCACACACCCATTTAAATGCTCAACCTCCTGAAAGAGTCAGAGTTTGCACTGGCAGCGTGGCCCATAAAAAAACATGTAGCTTTATTTCTGCTACTGCTGAATCAGAAAAAAAAAACCTCTCTTAAAGGAGCCATGGCATTAAGCCGTGCTTAACTCTGTTTTTTGTTTTCATGTTTTTTTTTGGTGGGGGTGTTGTTTTTGCCTAGAATTCCTTCCCAAACTCTATCAGGTTTTAAGTGGATTTTAGTTGGCCACATTGGCAACAGTCCGTAGTAGGAGGCCACTTGTTTGTTCCCAGCAGCTCAGACCCAAAATAACTACACAGAAACTGTATTAATTAAATCACTGCCTGGCCCATTAGATCTAGCTTCTTATCGGCTAACTCTCACCTCTTAATTTAACCCATTCCTATTAATCTGTGTATCGCCATGAGGCTGTGGTTTACCAGGTAGAGTTCCAGCATCTATGTCTGGCAGGGCTACATGGCTCCTCTCTATATGACTCTTTCATCCTATGGACTGTATACTGCTCTTTAAGAACCGATCTAAGAGCGGCTTTCTGCACTCTGTACACCAGCACATGTTTTCTCCAGTAGGAACCATCTTGATTCTAAAGAGGTCCAAGGGTCTCCTGTAACTCCTCCCACATTTCTTAATTTTTCTCCAACACTGAATCTTGGATTCCCCACCTCACCTGCTATTCATTTCTAACTCTTCATCTTTTTAATAAACAAAAGGGAGGAATGTTAGTATCCAGGCATCTGCACTGGCCTGCCCTTAGTGTCCTGGCTCAGCCAGCCATTAAGTGTCTCAGCTGCAGCCATTAAGAGTACCTCCTATGCACATTTGGTATGTTCCCTTTTAAAAGGTAGACCTTACCCACCTCCTGTCTCTTTCTCTCTTTCTCCCTCTCTTCCTCTCTCTCCTTCTCTTCTGCCACTCTTGTCCCCAGGGACCCATCTCTGCCCCCCTCTCTGCCCATTCTCTCTCCTTTCCAATGAGCCTCCGATGTGAGTTTTGTTGCATGGCATGTCTTCTTCTTAAAATAAATGACAACAAATACCCATGCCCTTGGTCTGTGGGAATAAAAGGCAGGTCCGGGGATGTGGAAACCTCCAGAAATCCAGCACTGTATGCACTGGCTAGACTAGGGAGTCCCTGAAATCACCGTGTGGTCCCTCTATTGGCAATTCTATCTCCTTGCAAGGAGATAGATGGGCTCAGTAGTGTAGTTTGTTTCCTGTAGACACTGTAACACACCCCAGCAGCATGGGGGCCCGATGTATTTGAACGGTTTTGCTGTGCCTTTGCTTCATAGTAAGCACCTTAGGGAATATTTTAACATTCTTCCTTTGCCTATCAGCAAGTCATTCTAAGAGTTGTGTTTTGATCAAAAGCACACACCAATAAATCAGCATGGTGATGAATGACCTTTGCGACTAGCTCCTGGGATGTTTATGCAGCTGTTGGGTATAATTCCCTGCTTGGGGCAGTGAAGGAGCAAATTTATCATTTCAGCTTTTATTTATTTATTTTTGGTTGTTTTGTTGTTTTCTGTTTTGAGACAGGATTTTGCTATGAAGTCTAGGCTGGCCTTTATCTCCTGGCACCCCTCCAACTCCATTCACTTCAGTGCTGGAATTACAGGCCTCGCTCACCAGGACATTTGGCTCTTGTTATGTTGCTGAGATAGGGCCAAAGGTAACTCAGGCTCCCTAAAAGTTTCTGTGTAACCGAGGCTAGCTTTGATTGATCTTCCCCACCTACTATGATGTTTTTTAAAACAGGATCTTCTTTTACTTGTTTGTTTTGGTTTTATGAGACAGGGTTTTTCTATGGAGCCCTAGCTGTCCTGGGACTCACTCTGTAGACCAGGCTGGCCTCGAACTCAGGGATCCGCCTTCCTCTACCTCCTGAGTTCTGGGATTAAAGGCATGTGCCACCACCGCTTGAGTTGAAACAGGATCTTTTACTATAATTACCATAGCCCAGGCTAGCCTGAAACTTACCGTTAGCCCAGGCTTGAACTTACCTCCTCCCTCATTTTCCTGAGTGCTAAGGTTATGGACATGAGCCACTACCTCTGGTTTAGGTTTTGAAATCTTTTATTACATTTATTTATTGTATGTATGTGCATACACACACATATGTGTATATGTGGGGGGCACACATACCATGGCACATATGTGGAGGTCAGAGGACAACTTTCAGGAGTTGATTTTCTCCTTCTACCATGCAGGTCCTGGGAATTGAACTCAGGCCTTCTGGTTTGGAAGCCCCTACTTCCATCTGCTGAACCATGTTTCTGACCCTAGTGCGGGGCGCTGCTGCTTGGCCAGCAAACAGGAATGACCACGAAATCGAGAATCCTTCCCAAATCACACCTTTATTGGAGCACTCGGTTGAAGGGGGAATGGGGGACGAGAGAGGGAAGGAGCAGGAGAAGGCGAGAGGGAAAAGGTGAGAGAGAGAGAAAGGTCCAGAGGCAGCTGCTTTTAAAGGGTGGAGGGACTCGGAAACTGTCCTGATTGGTGAATACCATTCTGCTGGTGCCCGGGGGTTCAGGATAGGCTAGGGAACCAAGGCTCAGTTGCGCATGTGCAGGCAAGGGCGCTCAACCCCACGTGGCTATGCCAAATATGGACTTGTATACCTCCAAGCTGTAGGACCACCTGTGCCATCTCGTAATGGTGATTTCTCCAGGTGGCTCCTTACACCCTAGTTTTAATCTATAGTTCACTTTGAGAATAGATTTAAGGGATGAAAGAGAAATTTGTCATTAAAAATAAAAAACTCCAAATTTTACCTCTTTACAAGAAATTGCTTGTTGGGAAAGTAGGGGAATGTTCAACCACATTAGCTCATTCAATGTCCTTACCTCATCTGTCAAAAGGCAGTAATCAGGGCTTCTAATCAGTGTTTTCCTTGGGATCTGCATGGCTTGACAGCGTCCACAAAGCCTCGTGTGTAAAGGCTTCACCATGAATGTGTAGATCCACTTGTAGTAAGGCTGACACTTCAATCCTCACCTTTAGTGGGTGGGGCTTAGAGGAAGGAAGGCAGGGCATTGGGGACATGCCCTGGAAGTGGATATTGGGATGCTGGTGAGCAGCCCCTCTCTACCGTGTGCTCCGGCCATGAGGCCATGGTGTCTTATGCCACTACAGACTCAGTGGAACAGGGTCAGGTGATTGCGGACTGAAATTCTGAAGTGACAGCCAACATAAACCCTTCTTATAAATTGGCTTGTCTCAGGTGTTTGTCATAGTGACAGAAACCGGAGGAACAGAAACCCGATTGGGATGTGATGAGACTATACATGACATCCCGGAGACAGCAGAATCAGAAAGGGGCCCGCTCTGGTTGGTATATTCCACTCTTCCCGAGTACAGAAACTCGGCTTCCAACGGCAAACAAGACTATTCTAAATGTCACCGCTCTGCGCCCCATCTGTACTCCTGAACACAAGCTGCCTTGCTTCTGAGTCAGATGTTATCACCCACTGAAAAATCTCCTGCAGCCAAGTTGGCTAGCAGCAGGGCTCAGCTCGGAGGAGACTCACACCTTTCTCCAGCAAAGCGGCCCTAAGGGACTGGCATTATTACTTCCGGGACAGAGACGGGAGAGGGCAACAGGGAAGACTCATTCCTCCAGAGGTCATCCAGACCTTCAGAGGACAAACAGTGGAAACGAGAACCAATGGTCCACTTACTGAACATTTGCCTGTGTGAAGAACCCAGCAAGCACTGTTGCCTCAGTGAGACTCCCAGAAGGGCGGGCAGGAAGTTGATGTCCCAGTGTATTTCTATAGGCTAAGACAGCGTTCAGTTAAAATCCAATGTGTGATCTGGGGATGGCAACTCAGAACAGACAGGAGACAGAGTTTGAAGAGGCCCAGTGGATCCTTCAGCAGTCAGGCTTGGGGGAAAACATCCAAGTTCCTTCAAGATGCGCTGGCACCCTTTTTAGCTTCCCCCAGGAGCCTCCTTCTCAGAGGATGAAACACAAAGACCAGGAGGCTTGGGCAAAACACTTGCCATTCAAGTGTGAGGATTAGAACTTGGATTTCCCAGTAAGCACACAAATGCTGAGTGAGTATGGTAGCCTGTCCGTAAGCCCGATGTGTAGAAGGTAGAAACAAGGATTGTCAAGGGAAACTAGTGTGTTAGACTGGCCCAGTGGTGACTCTAGATTCGACTGAGAGTGCCTAACTCAGTGAAGAAGGTGGAAAGCAATGGAGGCACTCCCTGTTCAGCCTTGGGCTTCTATATGCACACACACATACATGCACTCACACCCACCACACGTTCAGCCGCACACATTCACATGTATGTGAGCTGCATGCACGTGCACACACACACACACACACACACACACACACACAGAGTCTCAGAAGAAAGATATCAGGTGCAGAGACACATACAAGGCTGAGGGCAAGAACTTCATAACAATAAATAACCCATCCCTTTGAGGGAACAGATCTTTAAGGTCACAACAGTTCTCAACATCCTGAGTTAAGTAGCATTTGTGAAATCGTATACACAGTGAAAAATTCTCAAGACATAGATTTCCATTCTGTGGAGTATTCCCCAAGGAACAGGAAGCCATGGGAAAGTCTTCCAAGAGGGAAAAATGTTTGTTTCCACAATGTTGTCCCAAGTATGTGGCTGCCTAGATTGTGACAATCCCTGGTGTTTAGTCAGAGGTGTTACACCATGAAAAGCTGCCATGCTGCAAGCCAGGAGACCTTTGGGAATCTACGTTCAACATTTAAAAGCACAAGGCAATATTTGTATAAGCACATTGTGTTCTAGTTAAAGGATGTAGAGAGATGGATTTTATTGAACTTTGACAATGAGCAGGTGCTTTGCCTACCTTGCCTTACTCAGCAATAACCTGAACGGTACAGACTGTTACCACTTCCGCTAAGGGAGGAAATGAGGCTCCCCAGAGTCTCTCGCCTGAGGTCACATGGAGCAAACAGTAGTCATGGCATGGCTTCCCTGGGTTCTCCAGGTCCCATTCGGGATGCCTCCTGCTAGTGCAGTTTTTGTAGTTAACTGTTGATCACTACCAAAGAGCTAAGAGAAGAATAAGTCTTTGATAAGGATGGAAAAAGACAGAGTCCTGTCACATATGGAAACATTTCCAGAAGACACGAGATCAGAACACAAGCTCATCATTAGACTCTCATGCATGTGGAATGCTTCCCTTCTGTATCATACTTTGAAGATTTAAATGTGCTTCCACTGCACTCCAAGCACAAATCAAAAGCGACCCGCATTCCACTGTTTCTGTCCACAGTTCCCTGCTGTGGTTCTCAGACCACGGTCTCAATGGAGATGGTGTTGCCATTGCCCTCCTGGCGTCTGGGCTGCATTTCATCTTTGAAAGCCCTGGTCAGAACCACTTTTAAGGACTCCCTGAAGCGCTTCTTCTTGCTGCTGCCCACAAAAAAGTAGATGAAAGGGTTGGCGCTGCTGTTGATGGTGGAGAAGAGCAGGGAGATGTGGTGTAGGTTCCCGAAGGCTGACCAGTACTCGTAGTACAGCAGGTAGAGCACCCGCATGGGCACGGCGAAGATGAGGAAGATGATGATGGTGACCATGATGACGATGTACAGTTTTGAAGAGTGGGAGGCCCATGTGTTCTTCCGTATCTTCACCACCAAGATGGTGCTGGATACCAGCATGAGCGGGGTGAAGACCAGGAAGCTGAGAACAGCGATAAAGATGATGACCGCCCGGCAGTCACTCCGAGACTGACTCTCCTCCCCGCTGTCGATGCACATGACATACTCCATGGTGGTCACCAAGCACGAAAGTGCCCACAGGAGGGCGCAGACGAATGCCGACTGGTGCTTGGGGCGGTGGCATCTGTACCAAATTGGGTAGAGGACCGATAGGCATCTCTCCACGCTGATGGCCGTCAGCAGGTAGAGGCCAGTGTTGTAGCCAAATAGAAATGTCACGGACAACGTGACAATTGTGTAGTAGTGACCAGAAGAGAGCTCGTAGTCCAGCGCATAGTCAATGGACAGGATGAAAATACAGAAGAGGAGCGAGATGTCCGCAATGGACAAGTGGGTGATGTAGACGGTGAAGGGATTTCTCCTCATCCGGAAGCAGAGGAACCAGAGGAGGATCCCGTTCTCCACAAAGCCCAGAGGGGAGATGCTCATGATGACCCAGTGCACTATGGGAATGGGCGGGTGCACGCTCCCCAGGGAGGCGTTCCTGTTGGAGGTGTTCATGGCTTTCTCCTCAGCAAGGGATGTCATATTTGATGGGTCCATGAGGAGGCTTCGGGCTGTGCCGCTTCAGGTAACTTTCTGTAAATAAGTCAAACAAACGAAAACTATGAGAACTGGAGAATTAAAATAGAAGAGACAGCTGGCATGGAGGGGGGTGGCCCAGTTAGGAAAGTGTTTGCTTTGCAAGCACAAGGAACTAAGTTGGATCCCCTAACCTAGGTGTGGGGCCTGGAGCGATGGCTCAGTGGTTAAGAACACTTGCTTCTCTTGTGGGAGATCTGGGTTCAGTTCCCAGCATCCCAGATGGAGACTCCCAATCTGTAACTCCAGTTCTGGTGGATCTGATGTCCTGTTCTGGCTTCTATAGGCACTGCATGAATGTGATGCACATATACACATCCAGATAAAACACACAGAGACATAAAAACAGACACATTTTAAAAAGATGTGACAGCACACATTTGTCATCTCAGAACTGGGGAGGCAGAGATGGGTGAATTCCTAGAGCTTGCTGGCCATTCAGCTGAGCCAAAGTGGCAAGTTTCAGGCCAGTGAGTGATCCTATTTTTTAAAAAAAAGTGCATGGAATCTTAGGAACAATGCTCTAGATTGACTTCTGGCCTCTACACACATACCCACCTACATGCATGTGTATCTATACACCCATGAACACACACACACACATGCACGCACACACACAGAAATAAGATAAAATAGAAGAGAGACATTCGGCTATGAATCATAGCCATAACATGTGGCTAGAAAGTTGAGAGACTGGAGAGATGGCTCAGTGGCTAAGAGACCTCGCTGCTCTTACAGAGGACCCAGGTTCTTTACCCAGTACCCACATAGCTCCTGAACAACCTATAGCTCCAAGGGACCCAAAACCCTCGTCTAAGGACTCCGGGTATATGGTACACAAACATACATCCAGGCAAAAAAAGTAAATAAACCACTCATACACACAAAATAAAAATAAACATATAGTGGTCAAAAATATATTGCTCTTAGAGAGGATCTAGTCTGGGCCACAACCTGTGGCCGTTGGAGTCTAGGGGTCATGCTACAGCTGGGGCCATACAGATCTGAGTGACCTCTGCTGCTACCCAATGCCATGGTAACATCCAGGCCAGAGCTGCAGCTGAGGGCCATGTCTGGGTCTGTGGTCCTACTGTAGCCAGTTAACGTCTGAGGCTCCTGTTACCATTGATGCCCGAGGTCTGGGGCCATGTTAGCGTCCGAGAGCCATGCTGCCCCTGGGGCCGTGCTGATCGGAGTGCCCTGCAGCACTACCATATGGGGCAATGAGGACATCCAAACCCACCTGCTGCTGAGGACCGTGTCTGGGTCTGTGGTCCTACTGAGGCTGTGGTCTGTGGTCTTATATGAATGGTCAGTGCTTCTGCCTAGAGCCAGGATGTCATCTGGGCCTGAGCTGCTGCCGAGGGCCATGTCTGGGTCCATGGTTCAGTTGGAGATGGGGTCTGTGTTGATATCTGTGGACTGTGTGACCCTAAGGGGGCCTTAGGAATCGTGCATGATGAAATCAGAGGCCCATGCTGAACCAGCCCCGCCCTTCAGTGGCCCCAGGAAAGCTGGTCCTGCCTCTGGCTGGAAACTGCGGCAAGAGAGTTAATCTGAACTCGGGAGAGATGGCCCCAGCCCTCACCACAGGTGAGGGAGAACCGACCCTGAGGGCACGGGCATGGGGGAGCTGACTCTGTCCTCCTGACTGAGGTGAGCAGCCCCACTGGCCCAGATTGACTAGCTCAGCTCCCACCCAGGCCCACAACCGGGTCTTGGGTTGGCCCACCCTAACATCCACCTGTCTAGGACCCGCTGGACCTGTGGGATGACACCCACAGGATCTACACGACTCAGGGAGCCGCAGGATATCTCAGAGGAGTTCCAGTGAGGACCCGGTGATGATGGTGTGCCAGAAACCAGGGACCTTGAACCAGACCAGCGACTCATGGAATGAATTTGCTAGTAAAGCTGACTGGACAAAGGATGTGCTGTGTGACATAACACTCCCAGTGCCACCAGGGCAAATGAAGAGGTATTGGAGAGGAGGGAAAGATGGGGAAGCCAAGAGTATTTTTGTTTTTATTCTTGTTTTTGTTTGTTTGTTTACTTGCTTGCTATGTTTTATTTTGGTTTAATTTTTTAAAATATTTTCTTTGAGGGGTTACTGCAGGGGTAAGGGGAGGATATGGAAGGACTGGGAGATGAGCAGAATTGGGGTGCATGATGTGAAATTTCCAAAGAATCAATAAAGAAATTATGTTTTAAAAAACTGAATGAAGTAAACCCTTTCCTTCCCCAACCCCCTCAATAAAAGGGAGGACCCAGATTCAGTTCCCAGTACCTACATGTGGTTTACAAGCACCCAAACGGGGGATCTGATGCCCTCTTCTGACCTCTGCAGATACCAGGCATGCAGGTGGTGCACACACATTCGCGTATGCAGGCAAAACACTCATTAGAATAAAATTAAATAAGATAAATGTTCTTAAGAGAAGCAAAAATAAACCAGTGAAATTTATTCTGATGATCTATTTTATTTAGCCCAATGAGTTCAAAATAGCATATCATGATCTATTTTATTTAGCCCAATGAGTTCAAAATAGCATTTCATCATATAACTGATAAGAAAACAAAAAATGAAAAAAAGAAAAGGATGTGTCTCCCACATGCGTGTGTACCTTAGCAGATGAGCCGCATTTCCTGTGCTCAGAAGCAGTGGGTGACCAGTGACCATCCTGTAGGGACAGCTCAGACTTTCAATTGTCACAAATGTAGTCAAGGTTCTTAGGAGCAAAACCAAATGCTGGCAATGTATAACTCAGACATTAGCTAGGTTCTCGGGAAAAGTGGCAGGGATGTCTTGCTGTCTGAGACAAGGCTTACACACCAGGACCCTCTACATCTTGAAGGCAATCAGCTCTTGGTTTCTCACCTGAGGAACAGGGCTCTCCTGTCTGACTGTAATCATGGGGTGAAAGGGATGCTCAACACTGTGCTGCCTCCCTTCCTATTTCCTCACTGAGCCGCAGATTCACAGCCTGTTCCTCCGTACTCAGACGCCAGGTCCCACACTTTCCATTTATGATCCAGGTTTTATTTCCACTCAGCTGTCCTTCCCGCCCCCAACAGCTTCAAACTACATTCACAGAAAACAGTTGAGAAGGCTGTAGGAACATTTTAGGCCCACTTGGATCTGTCTTTTCAAAATCAAACCAACCTTCAATTCTACAGTTCCATCTTTGTGATGATGGAACAAGTTTTCTCCGTCCTTTCAAGGTTTAATTGCAAGTTGTTGTACAGACTGTTAAAAATAAGAACCTCTACGTAGTTTTGCTGGGGGGAAAGAACTGAATCTAATTTAATTTGGTAAGTGGAATGAAGGAGAGCATGCCAGAAATCAGGCAAGCACACAGCAAGACGTAGCTTTATACGGTTTTAAGGGAGGTCTTATATCACTGGGTCTTGGAGGGACGGTAGGAGTTCGTTTGCTGAAGAAGGGGAAGAAAGGCATTTTAAGAAAAGGGAACGCTGTGGACAAGGGCATGCATGAAGGCAGGACATACAGAATGTCCCTGCTAGCTGGACACAGTGGCTTATATCTGTAATCCTAGCAGTCAGGTGTCCCTGCTAGCTGACAGGATAACTTATACCTGTAATCAGTCAGGGAGCTGAATCAGGAAGATCTTACAAATTCAAGGCTAGCCTGGTCTACATAGTGAGCTCCAGGCTAGCTAGGACAATACAGTAAGACCCTGTCTCAAGTCCAGTACTACAGAAGGAATAGTTTGGGCCAGCTGCACGTGGTGGTGGCGCACACCTGTAATCCCAGCACTTGGGAGGCAGAAGCAGATGGATCTCTGTGATCTTCCCGGAGAAAACGTGTTCACTTCAGCCCAGGGCACCCCCATGAGTGGACACAGTTTTCTCAGGGTCAGAGCAAAACTCTTGAATCACATAGACTGATTTTGATCATGGGGTTTTAATGCAAATAGTTAAATTACGAAAACTAAATTCTCGTTAAAAAGCAACAAATATAATCCTTCCATTGTTTTGTTATATTGAGATTTTACTTGGAACACATTGCTAAGAACAATTCAAAAATCACACCCCCAATGTTACATGATCATCAGGAATTTCCAACTGTCCAGTGTCAGTTTGGGAGGCCTGGGAAATCAGCTGGCCCTGCATCCCCATCCTCCTCAAGGCTCCTGGCTGTCCATCTTTTGCACATCTGCTAGGAAGAGCTGGGATATTTAGAGTGGGGAGTAGAGCCTCAGTTGCTGCTTATGACCAAACAACCTAACTTGGAATTAGTCTAGTCACAGGATGCTTTCCCGGCAGTCACAGATATCCTGCACTTGAGCTTCCTGATGGGGGCCACACCTGCCTGTCTCCAGGTAGACCCAGTTCTAGGACTGCGGGCTTTTGGTCCAGACATGCAAATCATCTTGTCATAGAGTAACTGTAGCCGCAGGCTGTGTGTTACCTGGCAGGGACAGTCTGAGTTGAAGGACAGCTCATCCTACCAGCCTTGGTGTAGAACACAGTGGTGGGGACCTCAGATGGGAACAGCGCGAGAGGTCCGGAACAGGCGGTGGTGTCATCAGTCAGGAGCAGCACAGAGCACCCTTCCCTCCTCGCTGTTCCTCACGGAAGCACCTCCTAGGGAGAACGAAGCTTACTGGAGCATCAGCGTGCAGGTGCTAGCATCCAAAGAACCCTTCCTCGCTGCCTAACTATGGGACCTCATCGCCAGTATGGAAGGCTGGAAAGGAAGCCGTCGTTGCCCCCATTCAACAGGGAAGAAAATTAAGGATTAATACTAAGCTTGGAGCCTCTGCAAGTCACAACCCCACTGGGGCTCTGCCACCCACAATTGCTTCATGGAGGCTGTTGTTCCTTGGGCAGCAACACAGTGGTGCCTGAAAATGCTCAAGGGTCCTCATCGGAGAGCTGGCCAGGTCTCCTGACCGCCAACCAAAAGCCGAGCCTGTTTCCCAATCACCAGAGAAGAAAGTCTGGCGGCTACTGGTTTAACCAAGCCTCTCACTTCACAGACAAACAGAAGCCGGAGAGACTGGGAGGTGGACCAACACTCACAGCTAAGGCAGAGCCGTGCCAGTCAGAAGCCCTGGCCTTGCCTTCACCCAGCTGCAGGTCTCACCATGGCAGAAGTCTTCTTACATTCTGCTTTCCACTTTAGCTTGTCACTAACCTCCTGTTTGAGGACTTGAAGGCACCATGTTCCCTGATGGAGAGAACTGTTTTCCCTCAAAGACCTAAGGTTGATTTCAAATTATGACCTTGTCCGTGGTGGGTTCAGGATTACTGTGCCGTCTCTGTGTTAAAGTCTATTGTGACGCTCTTGTTTGCAATCACAGAGACAAGGGGATTGCTACAAGTTGGAGGTCAGCCTGGTTGACATAGAGAGTTCTAGGAAGGCCATCAAGAAGCAGAGTGGCCCCCGGGGAACAGATCAAACCACATCTACCTGAGTAAAAGGGCCACGAAAATGTCATCTTACTGGGATCCTCTTAAGCTATTTAGCTGTGATACAAAATGGGGGGTTTTGATTTATGTTACCTTTTATTCCAATTATAAAACAACAGGTTCTCAAAGAATATTTGGAAATTTCACATGTAAGACCAATACTCAAAATTAACCTTATTTAACACTTGGAATAGTCCTTTATTTTTCTTTTCAATGTCTCAAACACATTTTAAAGAATTGGGATCAACTTAAGATAAATATTGGTATCATATATTTCTCATTTGATATCATATTATTTTCTCCTTATCAGGGTATTCTCTAAAATGTATTTGTTTTCAACTAATCCTCAAACCTTGATCAATTGCTTCTGATTCTTTATCATTATTTTAAATACCTATATGCCCATATTTGCAATCGCATACATGGACTTACAGTTATATCTATAAAATGTGTATGTGCAAACACAAATATATACATCTCTACCAACATCTCCCAAGTCCACCCAAGAGCTGGGTGTCTCCATGTTTATAACTTCCTTCCACAACAACCCACCTAGAAGTCCCACGCCATCACTGTGCTCTGCTTTGGATACTTTTTTCATTTAGCAGGGGCTCCGCATCCCCTTTACTTCCAATATAGATGCTCTCCTGCCCTGCCTGCCGCTGGCATCCTCTGTCCTGGTCTCATTTCGGTGTCCTCTCCCTTCTGGACTGCACTCCCTGCTCAAGAAGACACTAGCCACCTTAGACCAGACTGGCCAGCACAAAGAATGTGTAGCACAACCCATCTGCCTGTAAGAATTCAAACAACCATAGGCAGTAATATCACATCTGAGCAGAAGAGGTTTTTTTTTTTTCAAAGTCAGTAGAGGTCGTTAGATGTCAAAAATTGGTCTTATAGTGTGGGATCTTTTTTTTCTGGCATTGGGAAGCTCTTTGATGGTATGCATCCCTTGCTGAACTGTCTCTTTTCCCTAGACACAGACAACCCTAACAAATTGTCAGAGATCTTTGGGGTTAGTTTGTTTTTGTTTGGTTCACTTGTTTTGTTTAGTTTTTTTTAAAAGATTTTGTTTTTTCAACCCTTTCAACTAAAGCTCAGAAACATCAAAGAAGAGGCAACGGAGAGGTCGTAAGCCCAAAAGAACCAGGACGTCTGTGTCAAGGCAGTGTCTGCTATATACTCCAGGGAGGGCACATCCATGAAATCTAAAAAATATGACTGCCAAAAAGATCTGAAAAATGACAGCACCAGTTGACATGCCAACATAGATAGGGAAGTATTACAAAATCTCACTGCTAAATGAAAAGCTACAGATTATTAATACCTGCTCAGAATGGAAAACTCCATCTTCTCCAGGGATGAGCCCCCTGACAGTCATCCAATCCCAAATGATTAGCCTTAAACATATGTACATGTGAGCAACACTAAAGGGACTCTTAAGGCTGTATTTATAAATTTACATGTGCATATATATGTAATAATAATAATGATTAAAGAATAAGAGGCCATAAATTTGGAAGGGAATAGGGGAACACTAGAGGATCTGGGAATAGAAAAAGGAGGGATAACATGATACAAATATAGACTCATACATGAAATTCTAAAAAAATCATTTTTTACCTTTCATTTTGTGTATCTATGTGTGAGTATCTGTGAACCTGAGTGCAGTGCCAACAGAGGCCAGAAGAGGTCACCAGATCCCCTGGCACTGGAGTTGCAGGAAGTTGTGAGTTGTCCAGAGTGAGCTAGGAATTAAAACTGGGTCCTCTGCAAGAGCAGTGCATGCGCTGGGCGGTGGTGCATGCTTTTAATTCAAGCACTTGGGGGGCAGCTACAGGCAGATGTCTGTGAGTTTAAGGCCAGCCTGGTCTACAAGAGCTAGTTCCAGGACAGTTAGGACTGTTACACCGGGAAACCCTGTCTCCAAAGACCAAAAAAAAAAAAAAAGGCAGTGCATATTCTTAACTGCTGATCTATCTCTCCAGCCTCGGGTCTGTTTTTTATTTTATTTTATTTTTTATTTTAAGTTTGTTTTTTTCAAGATAAGGTTTCTCTGTGTAGCCCTTACTGTTCTGGAACTCTCTCTGTAGACCAGGCTGTCGTCAAACTCACAGAGATCCTCTTGCCTCTGCCTCCCGAGTGCTGGATTAAAGACGTGCACCACCACCTTCAGATCTGTTTTTAACTGTTATGATTTGCTACACCACAGCAGCTAGATTTGAAGCCGGTGCCATGGTGCTTCTTTTAAGTTTGACATCACCTGTCCCAGCTCAAAAAACACTGAAGAAGCATCACAAACTTCGGATTTCAACAGGTGGCCTGGTCATCTGAACAAGGTGGCACTAGGGCCAATGCGCATGTTCCTCACCTTGTGGCAGAGCCCAGTGTGACACCCCTAGTTGCCTTCTTTGCGTCAGTACAGACTGAGTGAATGTCAGTCAGCCTCTTCTTTCACACCATTGTCAAGTCACAGCCTCTTCCTTTTCTGAGTAGACTACAATCTACTTGGATGTGGCTCAAGTCCCTCTGCAAGGGTCCTCTGGGGCCTTTGACCTGATGATGTATTTCTAAGAGTGCCAAGAACATAGAATGCAGTCAACCTCATTGCCGAGAATGCTCTTTGCTCTCTCGGTAGATATGGCCAAGACTGCCAAAGAGGCTTTGTCGTGCACATTACAAGGCAGAGGCCTCTGTTGTCTGTGCCTAACCCTGCCTGGCTCAGGAACTTAGCTTTCAAGCCAGCTGATCACAGATGCAAGCCCTAAGCCAAGCAGCCCGGCCCCTCTGAACCTTGGCTCCTTCACATAATTGTCCATTTTCATGTCTTTCTGGAAGGCTGAGAGATGAGAAAAGCTAGAAATTGAAAGCCTAGAGATTGGACGGTTCTATGCCAGTAAGTGTCTTGTGGAAATGTTGGGCTGAGATAATGAGCCAACAAGCAGGGAAAACAAGCCCAGCAGTTTCCCCAACCGTGGAAGGATGTGAACCTGCACAGCCAGGTCCTGACAGCTCCATCCAGGACTCACACTCACCTCTCCCTGCAAGTGAGAAGAAGTTGCCCAGTGGAGCTGATAGTAGAATCAAGGAACACCAGTGGGGACAGATGCTCTAAGTTCCTTCCATAGGCCAGTGGGATGACCTCACAGGTAAAGCCACTTGCTGTGCAAACCTGATGACCTGAGTTCGGTCCCCAGAACCCACATATATGTGCACACACAATAATAAAACATTTAATTTTTTAAACAATAAGTGTCGTGCGTTTATGTACATTCACTAGAAACTCGGGAGCAGACATCCTCTTCCACATTCCCGCTCACTGAAACAATCTTTCCTGAGCCCAGACTCCCATTCTGAGAGGGGGATGGAGGGAGGGGGGAGAAGAGAAAGGAGACAGGTTGGGGTGATGAAAGAAAAGATGGGGGGAAGAAAGACAATAAGACAAACAACAGCAACAACAACAAAACTAGGGATTGAAGGAGTGTGTATCTAATCTGCTCCTGTTCCCAGGCAACCACACAGAAGTTGACCCCAGGCAGGACCTTGTTTGGTGTGTAGATGTGAAGAAAAGAATGCATATCTCTCTCTCTCTCTCTCTCTCTCTCTCTCTCTCTCTCTCTCTCTGTGTGTGTGTGTGTGTGTGTGTGTGTGTGTGTGTACACACTGTCCTGCACAAATAGAAAGCCATTTGTAAGATGGAATTTTCATGGCAAGGAAAGGCACTGAAGGGTACATGTGTGGCAGAAACACCTGTCCTGTGTTCAGCACAACTTCACATCACCCTAACAGCAGAGCCACCTAGGTACAGGAGCAAGGACAGGTCCCCTTTTCTAGTGTGCAGAAGAGCCAACTTCGTGCACTGCTTTCAGAGGTGGAGGGAACTGTGTCTCCTTTGGGACATTTGGAATGCCTGGTGGCTTAGAGTTGTGTATGCTAATAGCACAGAGTGGCTGAGTGTCCTAAAGAATGTAGGACAGGGGGCTGGAGAGATGGCTCAGTGGTTAAGAGCATTGCCTGCTCTTCCAAAGGTCCTGAGTTCAATTCCCGGCAACCGCATGGTGGCTCACAACCATCTGTAATGAGGTCTGGTGCCCTCTTCTGGCCTGCAGACATACACACAGACAGAATATTGTATACATAATAAATAAATATTTTAAAAAAAAAGAATGTAGGACAGCCACACGACAGAACTATCCAGTCTTCAATGCCCACAGTGATGAGGTGAGCCTCCATACTCCAGAGGCCAGCTGCTGATCACCTTATTGTCACACGCAGCAACATGCCAACAGCCGGTACACTCACTCCTTGCCAATCACCCCTGTCCCCCTGGCTGGGAAACACTGCTAAGGTAATATAAAAGACTGCTTAGTCTACACTGTCACCCTAGGACTGGCCAGGGCTTCACAAGCACTGATGCCCACTAAGGAAAACAAAGAGAAACCCACCCAACTTGCCTCCAGCCATGCCCAGTGACTAAGTTAAGCATTTTCTATACAGGAACCAAACACTGTTACAGTCCTTTCAGTTCCCAGTTCTTCTCTTGTTCCTGCAACAACCTTGAAAGCGTTCACAGGCACCATCCACTCTGCGAATCAATCCCAGGATCCCTTCCATACCTCCCCAGTCATGAGTCAAGACGACGAAGTTGCAGTAGAAGTTTTCAACCCTGAAGTTGGAAAGCAATATCTGGGAACAACTCCCCCAGCGGAAAAGCAAATCTCCCAAAATGAAGGCGGTGGGAGACAGAAGTTTTTGCCAACACACACTGACAGCAAATATCTAACACTCCACAGAAAGCAATCGGCAGAGAAATCGCTGCCGGGTGACAGCTCCCAGGACGGGGGAGATCTCTTACTGTGCTGTCAAAAGCATCTGAACAACTCCACCCTGGAGCACAGACTCACTGGTGTCCTTCGCTCAGAAAGGGTCAGGGGTGCAGCAGGGAGATGGCTCCTTTGCATCCCGTGGCATCCATACCCAGCCAGCCTGCCAGGTCCCTGATCTCAGCATCTCCAAGGATGGCTGCAGACTAGTCTCTGAAGTCAGAGCTGCTCCCCCACTGCTGAAAATACGTGAGCTGTGCCAAGCAGATGGTCCCACGCTTATCAGCAGAAGCAGTACTTCAAATGGCATCATTCCCTGACACACAAGTGAAAATCTGTATCCTGATCCACAGTGGGAATGGCTGAGGATAGCACAGGGTGGCTCATAGCCTTGAGAGACTAGGGCCAACCTGGGCTAAGGAGAACGGTGCTCCTAAGATACAATGTATGAAAGGGCAGAATATATACTACCATTTCTATCCCTAGGCTAAGCTCACAAGTAAACATACAACCTGCATTGAGCCCTTGAAGACTCAGTCTTCTTTACTATAAAATGGATTTTTTAATATTACCTCAAAAAGGTGTGATTAAAAGGGACATATATGTCTAAATCTGCCTTTAGGGAGGCACATGGATAAATAATTCAATACTCATTCCGTCTTGCAGTCCTTGGAGCAGATAATGCACAATTTAGTGCAGAAAGTTGGGTTGAGGTCATAGAGAGGAAGGGAAGCCAAGGCACCGGGGACTGTGGTTGAGGGGTAGGTCTGCCCCGTGGCAGTACCCAAGCAAATTCCTTCCCAGGAACTGCAGCTCTATGTTAAGATTCTCACGTCGCAACCTGGAAACACAGCATTAGATAGCGTTCCCCTTGACCTCTGCCCACTTTTCTCCAGGAACCTGAGATAAAGCCAGGCAAGAGACTTTTACTTTTAGGTCACCTGGTTCTCAGGTAGCCGTGCCCACAGTGAAGAGCTACCCCCACCTCCACTCCTGTCCTTCCTCTTTTCAGAGAGCTTCCTCCAGTTACCACAGTGAAGCAGCATTGACCCCGGAACCAGTAGGGTCAAAGGGGAAGGAAGGTGATTTCAACGCATCAGAACACTTGGTCCATGGACCAAGTCGTGAAGCCTTGGTTCAGACTGTTTCCAAAGCTGATCTAAAGGGCAGGAGTTCAACTGATCCACAGGAAGCCTGGGGCTCAGTCCTCCCAGACGGGAAGGAGACCACATGAGAGGGGGCTTACCCCGAAGACCTTTAGACCACAGCTGGTACAGATACAGAGAGGGTAAATCAACAGAGCGGGTGAGCTCTGGCCAGATATGGAAAACGATTTCTTATTACCTGATTCTCATGTCCCAGTGGAAGAGAAGGCCAGCCTCCTGTAGAAGCTTAAGTTTCAGGAAGAAAATCAGAGAGAAAAGAAAATCCACTAAGGTGAACTACAAGGTAGAAAGCAAGGAACACACCATAAGGAAGGATGGTGAGACAAGCCGGTGAGATCCAGAGAGAGCCAACAGGCTGGCCAAGAGGTCCCCGGCCGCGGGGAAGGAGAGAGAATGGGATGGGACAGAAAGATTCTCTCAGCTCCTCTATCCACATTTGGTACTTCTCAGAGCTGAGTCCGTGCAGAGTTGGCGAACAGTTGTCCTCAGGAGTGCCGTGGAACCTTGAGCAGAGTGACCAAGTAGAGAGAAGATGCCAACGTCATTGTATAAGTCAACAGAACAGGGGCACACCCATTTCCTTTCTCCATCTCAGAACACAGCAGAGATGCCTGGCCACTCTGGCAGTGGACAGGCCACCCAATTTGGAAGCTGATACCAGTCACCAGGTGAATTCAGAGTAGAGCTTCCAGAAAGTTAGGTGGTCAGAAGGTCCCCAGGGAAGTTGGCCGCTGGTAGGAGGGGGCTGCTGCCAGGGATGACTCTCCTCCCACAGAGAGAGTGGGCGGGGGAAGTTACCAATTGTTTTGTGACTAATTGGCACCACCAACAAAGCAGGAACTATCACAGATGGGGCTGGAGTTTCATTTGTGGTAGATAATGATTTATGCTTAGAGAAAATACAGCAACTTACTGTAAAAATAAAGCCGCTTGCATTTAAGCCACAAATAGGACGGCTATTTCTGGGCTCGGTTTGTCGTTTTGAGTAATCATTTTCTTCAGAGGTGGGAAGAGTTTGGGAGGAAGGAGGAGGTCTAGAGAGAGCAGGAATAGGGCTGGCTAAGCCCAGGAAAGAGAAGTGTCTGTGACCCCCCAACTTCCCTTACATAGAAGTTCTAGGCTGCACGCCTGTGAGATAAGTCACACCTTCCAGAGTTCCTTAGAGAAAGCTCCCCTGCTCCTCAGTCAAGTGATGAAAAGATGAAAGGAGCCCTGGGGGGCTCAGGGGAGCGAGGGAGAAGAAAGCAACTCAAGGAAGGGAGGATTGGTTTGGGCTCACCATTCAAGGGTCCAGTCCGGCATGGTGAGGCAGTCACCATGACAACAGGCATCAGCAGTCGGGAAGAGAGAGCTATGGACGCTGTCACTCAGTGTCTTCTCCCTTTTCATCCAGTCCAGAGCCAGGGCCCATGGCATGGTGCTGCCCAAACACAAGTGGGACTTCCAAACTCCACTAAACTAAGGAGATAGCCTGACAGGCATGCCAAGAGGCTTGCCTTCTAGGTTACCCGAGTTAATAGCTAACATTAACCATTGCGCACAGTAACACAGGAAGGCAGGTGGAAGGTTCATAGCAGGAGACTAGCTAGCAAGTCCACAGGCGTCAGAATGGCAACACCCAGAACTGGACCCCTACCCCCTGGGTTGGACTCCCTTCCTTCCATCTTAAGCCCCATTTCTTAAGTTCCAGAGTCTCTTAGTACAGTGGAGTGGGGGGGAAGCTGACTGCCCTGGCACACACTGTGCTGGTCCCCATCAGCCCTCAGAACATGCTAACTGTCAGCCTGGCACACACTGTGCTGGTTCCCATCAGCCCTGACTTCAAGGATGCAAGAAATGTATCTTTACTGACGTGCTGAGTGCTTCTGGGTCCCACTGCTCTGACTGACAGGCTCTCAGAGTAGACCCAGTCTCTCTCTCTCTCTCTCTCTTTCTCTCTCTCTCTCTCTCTCTCTCTCCATCTTTCTCTCTCTTCCTCCTCTCTCTCTCTCTCTCCTCTAGTCCTACAACACAGGCTTCAGATCTCAGTGACCAGACAAAAGCCAAGGATAAAATCCCGAGAATGGCACTCTCCCAGACCATCTGATCCCTTCAGCCTGAGGGAAATCTTCTCTCCTGCCCTGGACAGGGATTAGCTGGATCTGTCCCAAGCCAAGATTTCCATTTTCAGAGCACATTCTTAGACACCGAGTCTGAAAAACTGGTACTGCCTCCCTCATGTGCTTTTCCTTCACCTAGAGGGGCCCCTGTGGTGAGGTCCAGTAGGAACACTCCACAAGGTAAAAGAGTCCTGGCGATGCAAAGAGAAAACAACCCGGTTTAGGAAGATAGGTGGAGCCTTCCTAGATAGATCCCAGCAAGGATGCCTGTGGCCCCAGCGGCAGCCTGAGCGGGCCCAGTCGTGAGAGCTCCCTGACATGCCCTGTATTTAGGATCTGTCTGAAAGGGTTTTTTCCCACCCAGTAGAAGAGTCTTTGCTGAGTAATGAGGAGGGCACGAAGTGACCCGGAATGGGTGGCGGTCCTAATCAAAGACAACATCTGTGCTAAGGGCCCTGAGAATACTCCGGGCCACTCCCCTCCAGCAGACTCTGGGGCCAGTGAAGATGGCTACAGCAGACAGGCATTGTGGGCTCCAAAATGAAAATATCCAGATCAGACAGAAAGGAAATGCATTTATGCCTCCCCGAGTTCCTCAGAATCACAGGGCACCACGACTACAGGGCGAAGCAATCCAAAGCAGGAGGAAATAATTGGAAGACTCATGGATAAAGCCTTAGGAAGCCTGTCAGCCCAGTAAGAAGGGCTACAGTGGCTTCAAGCACATTACGTCTCTGAGGATGACCTTGAACTTTTTTTTAAAGATTTATTTCTTCTATTTTTAAATATGTGTATGTGTGGTGGTGTGGACGTGCACACATGTGTGCAGGTGCCCACAGAGGCCGGAGGAGTAGGGTCCTCGTGAAACTGAAGTCACAGACAGTGTGAGAAGGCCAGCGTGGATACTTACAACCAAACTTGGGTCCTCTGTATTTCTAACCACTGAGCAGTCTGTATCTCTAACCACTGAGTCATGTATCTGGCCCAACCTTTGGCTTTGATACGCCTACCTTCCCTTCATAAATGCTGGAATTACAGGTACATACCGCCACGCCCAGTTTTGTGCAAACCCAGGACTCCCTGCATGTAATACAAGCATCCTACCAGTTGAGCCCTTTAAACAAGTATCTTTTTAAAGATATATATATGTAATATGTAAATAAAATATATACTATATATAATATGTGTTTTAAAAGATACTTGTTTTATACATATATTTGGGGCTAGAGAGCTAGTTCAGAGGACAGGAAATCTAGTTGGTTTTCCCGAAGACCCGGTTTGATTTCCAGCACCTACATGGCCACTCTCTGGCATCTATAACTCCGTCTTAGAGAACCCAGTGCCCTCTTCTGGCCTCCACAGGCACTCATAAGTTTGGTGCACAGAAACACATGCAAGTAAAAAGCCCATACACATAAAATAAAAATAAAGTTTAAAAAAAATTAGTATTTATATTTCTGTGTATGGACATTTTGCCTGTATGTGTATCTGGGCACCACAAGTGTGCCCGGTGCCTGCAGAAGCCAGAAAAGGGTGTCAGACCCCTTGGGACTAGAGTCACAAGTGTGGGGGTGAGGAGCTGAGGCCAAGTCCTCAGAAGAGCAGGGCAAGGTCTTGGCAGTTGAGCCACATGTCCAGTCCCATTTCATAAATATGTTACAGAAGAAGTTAAACAAATAATCAATAACCTCATGATTACGTTAATCATCAAAACATCAGAGGAATGTAAATTAAACCCTAATGAGACACTACCTCACACCTGATAAAGTGTGACTACAGAAGATTGACAGCAAGAGTCGATCCTTTGCAAATGTTGGTAAAGGGGGGGCCCAATAAGAACTCTAGCAGTGCTGGTGGGAAGGCAAAGCCAATCCTCAAAGCTGGACAGAAGTTTATTAAAAATATAATATACACCTTATGAGCCACAAATCTCACTGTTAGGTATTTTCCACAAGAAAGTAAAATCTAGAGCTGGAGAAATGGCTCGGAGGGTAAGAGTGCTTGATGCTCTCCCAGAGGACCAAGTTCTGTTCCGAGCACCCACAGGAGACTGTCTACAGCCATCTGTAGGCTCCAGTTCCAGGATGCTGCGCTCTCTCTCTCTCTCTCTCTCTCTCTCTCTCTCTCTCTCTCTCTCACACACACACACACACACAAATAAATCTTAAAAAATGAAAAAGTAAATATCTATCCACCACAATCCTCATGTGATTGAATAGTCATAGCCATCTTAATCACAAAAAAATCAAAATCTGAAAATAGCCCATCCAAAATTAACCTGGACAACAAAGTGACATACACTCCTACAATATAAAAAGGAGAGACTCACAGATATATGTAACAGCATAGATATTCACCTATATAGAACATTCCGGAAGGGGCAGAGCTATGATATCCTGACAGAAATCTGATTATCATTCACTGCATGCCAAACTGACTAGGAAAGGCAATGCCCTATGTCTAGGTGGGGCAGAGCCCACACATGTGTGCGAACGTAACAAATTAGACCAAGGGGAACAACTGAGAGTTATGATTGCCACTGGATGTTAGTTTTGCCCCAGCACAAGTGTTTCTTAGTTCAAAGACATC